GCATATAACTTGTAGTTCTTGATTATTGGGTAGAATTAATAATACTGACCCTGATATATATTAATATATATATAACGAGGTAGAATGAGGGTCTGCGTATATTGTGTGTGGGTTGAGTGTGGTTGTTTTATGATAGTTTGTACAGTGTGTGGTTGTTGATATTATGGTATAGTATGTATATATTCATTCGATATATGTATATGTACTATATATGTATTAGATATATATATGTATATTGTGTCATTATTATATGTATAATACTATATTGATAGTAGATTGAGTATGTAGGGGTAAGTGAGTGAGTGATATAGTGAAGTGATGTATTGAATGTGATAGTGAATGAGACTGAGTGGAGTGAGTGAGTAGTATGAGTATGAGTGTTAAATATATATGTGATGTTGAGTGTTGTGTATAGTGTTTAGTATGTAGAGTATTGTATTATGTGGTGTATATGTAAGTATTTAGTGTGAGTATGTAGAGAGGGAGATTATATATATGATTATAAAACTATATCAACATTATTTCACATTATATGTATATACACATTAAACAAGGCTTGGCTTCATTTATGAGATATATATGTATATATACAGCATCTCCTCCCTCCTATATATAAATAGTTGAGGAAGATGTACAGCCCGGCTGGCCAGCTTATGTCATACAATATATGATTAATGAAATATGAAGTTTGAACTTACGTTAATATGTAATTATATTTGATTCTTGTACATGAGAGCTATATTTGCAATTACTGAAATGCAATATGTTATCATAACTATATTAATCTGATATACATAAAGTTATGTGTCAATATGATTAATTATGCTGATAGATTTACTTACTACTAACAACTATCTATATAGATTGCTGTTCATTCAATACAATAATAGAATGACTAAGCTAATACGCTGCTGACTATGTAATACATGTTTGTAAATTATATAACATATAAATAATATATATGTATAACTACTCATAATATCAATAACATGCATTACTACTGTCATACAGTATTTACAATTCTACTTCATGCCACTTATTATTTACTCAATATATATGTGCAACCAATAAACTAACATATTAAGATACCAGCAATATTAGATCTATATAGTCAATAAAATTATATCATATAATTTATCTATTATTCTGAGTGAGAAAACAAGGTAGCTGTTAGGTATCCAGACGTTTCCGCCAACTCACCACACTACTTTATGATGATATATACTTAATACATATATATAGTATATATATCACTAATCATATTTCTAGACATAGGATTGGTGCATGACAAGTCATATATATTGTGTATCATAATAATCTAGCACAAAGAAAACTGTTTCTGTCATCAACTTTTATTATAGTATTGATATAACCCTACCGAATTAATACTATATAACCTATATATCATATTAAGAAAATAATTATATCACTTTATTATCTCAATCCATACTTCATCTTCTTAAATACATATCTATCATATCTTATGACTGAGTGATATACTAAATATTCCATTCATATATACTTATCCTCTTCCCATCCATGCTTATCTTCTCTATTCTATATTCTACTTCTAATCCTTAATCTATCTCCTATATCTACCTAATTTCTTAATCCCATTGCTACAATATAATATTTTCTGCCCATACAATACCACTATCATACACTAGTACTAATACGTATCATAATACTTTATGCTCATGATAATACTATCTATTCATCGACAACATCTAATCTATAAGCGTAATATACTAATGCTATCTATCCTTTTAACTCATACTGAGTAGTCTAAATGCTATCTACTACCAATCTAGTATATACATTTAATCAGCAAGACATCGAAATGTCTAAGTCTATCTATCTATCCAATAGACTACTTCGTCTTGATGGCAATACACAAGAGGCGTATAGACTTAGCTATCAATCATCATAGATTGATAATTATGACTAGATAATGAGCAGCTCACATGGGCAATGTGAGCACAGTGACTTACAAAACCTTTTTCATTCATATAATCTCCACCAAACACCTTACATTGATGAATACAATAAATCCACAACACTCCACACCTCAACTACTCTATCAGCAACCCACTTACCTACCATCAAAACACCCACACACAAACTCCATCATTCTAATATGATAAGTACATTAACATGCACCCCACCCCCCCCCCCCCTCACTTCCTCCCCCCACCCCTCCCCTCATCACTAAAACACCTCCTCTTCTCGCATTTATTCACTATCTACACACACACAACCCACCCAAACCATTACACACCACAACCACACACCAACAACACACATCCACACACAACTTACACCAACGAGCACACGACACACACGACAACCACATGCACCCACACATACACAACACCACACGCCAGAACAACAAAATAACAAACCACACAAACACATGCCAGCCATCGACGAGCGAGCAGAGTCATAAACTTGTGAGTATATTATATAGGTAATATAGGGTCCTATTCTACACACGTAGTCAGACTTATTTTTTCCTCCTAGCATGCCTCCACCACATATACAGAGTATAAAACAATGAGATATTATTACTAGTCTATCGTTTCTGAAGGCTATAACGGTTGAAATGATAGCCTATGTTAGGATATATTGATGATAAGATGATTATATAATACACCATCATAATTATCTTTTATTCAATCTAAATGTAGTGCATTGAATCTCACTTATGAGTAAATACACTATCAGATAATGTAATATTAATCCTTCATTGTATATCATCTTAAATACCTAAACTCATTATTTATCCTACACCTCATATTTATCATCCTATACTTTACTCTATCCCACTCTACCTTATTCATCTTTTCAGCCTTCTGTCCTCCCCTCTCCTTCACTCCCTCCCTCCCCTCCATTCTATCCATCCCTACCTTGGATCCATCCTTGAAAATTACATGTGTGGTGTCTGGGCTCAGCCTGTCCCTCACTTCTGCCCCTAGGACCTTCAGCTGCTCCTTGATGACCTGCGACCTGTTGTCGCTGCCCATCCGCACCTCTACATATGCAATGACACCTGATGGAAACAAATTAATAAATGCCAAGATGGAAAGAGGAAAGTTCCGGTATAAAATGCTGAGCTTTGTAATTCTACTTAAGTTTTTAAAATCTGCTGATGTCTTCCTCAATACTATTACCTTCATGGAAAAAAAATATATGCTTGCTATTATCAATAAAATTCTTATCAAAATAAAAACATTATTAATATCAAGTGTATTGGAAAATAAATATTTTTTCACAAAAATTCTAGGAATGGGGGAAAAGAGATGACGTCACATAGGTATTCCTACTCAACCCCTTCATGACTGGAAGAAGAAAAAAAAGGGAGAAGGATAATGAGAAAGAAGTGAAAGAAAAAGATTTCTTTCAAAACTTTTCCTGAATTTTGAAACAAATTTTCAAGTATGTAGGTACACCTCAAATGATTTTATGTAGTCATATATAATGTAGTGACAAAGGAAGTAAATGCATAAACTGATAAAATCAATATGCAAAAAATTAATAACAAGTGTTAATACAATGGGAGAGAAATGTACTTTGCACAATAAACCTATTTTTATGTATGTTTTTCTACTAATACAAATAATAATATTCCAGATGATAATATTGAAGAAAATATCATCAATAATAATAATAATGAATAATGACAATACCTAATCATTTGAGGAGTTACTTCCAGTAAGCTTTCAGGCTCCAGTAACCAAGCCGACCTGAGCCGAGGCCAATACTCTACCTCGCAGAATGACAGTGACATCTGGCTCTGTCGCTGCAGACTCCGATGCTTCTGATGGCTCCATCCAGTCCGTGTGCGTTCCTCCTGCACCACCTTTGCCTCCTGCAGTCTTCTCTCCCCCTTCTGCTCCCCCTGCCTCCTCTGGGAGCTGGGCCTGCAGGAGCCTGAAGGAGCGTGTGCTGAAGTTCTGGAAGCTCATCCCCGCCACCCCACAGCCAGCAGGAAGGGCCTGGGGTAACGTCTCATCCATTGCAGCCGGCTGCGATTCCAGGTCGGCAATGATGTTCCGGATGGAAATCTCCTGGCTTGAGGTCTTGATGGGGGTTAGCTCAAGGTCCTCACTGTCGAATATCTTAGTGGCATCACTGCTCCTGTTCTGGGCACTCCAGATGCCGTTGTTAATCCCGCTATTGGTACTGCCTTTAGAGATGGTACTCCTCTCAGTGCCACCTTTATTTTGGACTGTTTCTCTGCTGCAACTTCTGTTCTTCTTTGGGCCTTCCTTTGGGTGGCTGCCTCTGGGCTTTGAGTTTTTCCTCTGAGTGTTGAGGATCACTTCGTCATCCTCGGAGGAATCTGTGCTCAGGGGGACAATCAGGCTCTTCCTCCTCCCTGTGGCCCTGCCTCCCCTTGCAGCTGTCTGCCTCTTCTCGCTGCCTGGACCCTCCACTCCTGGCCCCCCTACAGGACGTCTGGCCCTGTGCTGACCCTCCTCAATGGTCCTCAGCTTTGTGGTGAGGGACTCTGAGTCATTCAGGTCAAAGGGCATGATCACATGCGCTGCTGACTTCCTGCGCCTGCTCTTCTTGACAGGGGACACCGCAAAAAGGTTAAAGTCATCCTCCTCAGGCTGCTGCTGTTGACTGGTTGCCTGCACACCTGAGAGCATGGAACTGTTCTTGGTCCGCTGGGACTTGAGTGAGCGGGCAAAGGAATCCTCAGACTCTAAGATGGACATGAGGTTCCTCCGCTTGCCCAACTTGAGGTCAGGAGTGATGTCCAGCACGGTCGAGTCATCAATCTCATCCCTATCGCTGCTGCTGTCTGTGGGGACCTCAGATTTCCCACCGGCCTGGGCTTTGAACCGGGTGTGAGGCAGGCCCTGTGCCCCACACCCCACCTCATTCTCTGGGGTCTCCATCACTGACATCATGGAAGTGGACGGAGCAGCGCCGGGACGTGCACAGGTGAGGTTGGTGGGCGTCTCTGGCACTACAACCGAATCCACGTTGGTGAGGCTTTTCTGGTTGAACAGGACGGAGTGCATGTCCTGAGACTGCCTCGTAGAGCCCTTCCCCCCCCTCTTCATGGCCTCCTATTCTGAAGCTGGATGGGAAGGCAATGAGATGTTTGTCCCTCTGATTACATACTATGTAAATGCAATATACTATGATATATGAAATAATATAAAACATTATATGAAATGTTATTTAATAGTTCATTGTGAGTTAATACAAGAAGGGTTTCCTGATCAGATTTCATCAATCATAACAATCTTAAAATTAAAAAAAAAATGCGTGATCTATTCTGTCCAAAAGGAATTTAATTTCACAGAAACCTGCAAAGAGAATATGTTGGTGTAATTACAGTAGAGCCCCATCCAGGGTTCGCTGCAGCCCCCTCCTCCTTCACCCATCAGCAAAGACCAACAAACCTCTACTAAATGTATCCTAGCAAAACCAAGTTTGTAGACTTGCTCACAGTCCTCCTGAATAATCTGCAACAAGTGGCACTGCGGGCCTCTGCACGTCTTGGGGAGGGGCAGGGGATGGGGGTTAAAATCAGGTATCCACCAGGTATGTTCTTGTATGTGTAGCCTGCTCTGATTCCATGAGAGAGCAAATTAACAGGGCGGGAGGGGGGGGGGGGTAATTGCTCTGTCTTGCTAGAATATAGTGGAGGTTTATTGACACGTCGCAGCGCACAGAGTCCGAGACGATTTAGGCTAATACAAGTGCTCTTTTTAATGCCTGATAGGTTTGTCATCCTTCACTCGCACATTAATTTCTACTGCAGCATTGCTTATGTGATGAAACTTTGAAATTTAGACCCATAAAACACTAATATTCCAGACTGTAGAGTATTTTTCTTGCGTGGGAAATATCACATTTTTTCATGTGCGGAAAACATCATTCTGTCTCCATTTGCGTGGACGGATCTGCGGACGGATGATGAAACAAGTGTGTGGAAAGGTCAAAAGAATTTTATGCGCAGAAGATGATTTAAAAAAGAACTAAGCGTGTGTGGAAAGTTATCCGAGAACTACATTTGCGTGGGCAGAGTTTAACCAAGGTCTACAGTCTGGCTAATATTGACTACAGAATACATATTACAGAAAATGAAGGTAACCCCACACTCGCTAATCTATAACACATCTGTAGAGATTGATGTGACAGCTGAGGCCACCATGCCTTTGGCACTCCTGCAAAGGTAGGCAGATTTGAGAAGCTTTCTCTGTCTGGACTTATCCTGTCAGGATTAATAATATTCTTTTTATAGTATTTTTGTGCAAAGGACATGAAATGCCTTCCTGAGCACTTACATGGACACCAATCCGTGCCCTTAAGTGGAAGGAGCCCGACATTCTATATTCGTGTTACTTTTTCTGTGCCTTCACACACTCCGACTCACCTCCTTGGGGAATGAGTCCAAGCTCTGTCACACTAGAATATACCAAAGCATGGCTTGCCGGCCACAGCAATCACAAGCGAATACAAGCGCACATTTGATGGCCAGAGCGTTACATCCTTACCAGAGGCGGCAATGGTATCGAAAACGTCTCTGAAAGACCCTTGTCATGAATGCAAATGAAGCATCACCTGCAAGATCACAAGTCTAAGGAGTCTTATGCCTTGGATACATGTAATAACTACATCTCTATCTACTTATCTACCTCTTTGTTCATTCTATTATCTGTGTATAATCTGTATCTTTCTACTATACCCTCGTGTTCATCTATTAACTGTGCTATATCTGTAATCTTGTCTAACTTAGACGCTCTACTTATCTACCTCTTTGTTCATCTATTAATCTGTATACATCTGTATCTTTCTACTTATCTACCTCTTTGTTCATCTATTAATCTGTATGTATCTGTATCTTTCTACTTATCTACCTCTTTGTCATCTATTATCTAGTATATACTGATATTCTTTCCATCTATCTATCGAAGAATTATCTACCAACCAATCTTAAATCATTCATCCTTCCTTCTGTCTATCGCACGAACTCATTCCTCTCTACTCCCGTATCTGTATCTATTCCCTACGTAACACCACCAAACACAGTCACCTAATAAATGCCATCTAACCGCACAGAACACAGTCACCTAATTAAAGCTGCCACAACACACAAAACACAGTCATGCCCCCTAATAAGTATGCCGAACGTAACAGCTACAAACACGATCACCTCATTACTCTGCCATTCGGCCTAACGCATACACATCCACCTATAGAATAACTGCTACGTAGAACCGCCACACAAAAGCACATCAGATCACCAGTGTCTAATAAATCTGCCACGTAATCGACAAAAACATACGTCACCTACTATGCATACTGACCACGTAACGCAACAAACAACAGTCACCTCAATTAATGCCACTTAACGCACAAACCACAGTCACCTAATCACTGCCACGTAACGCAGCAAACACAAGTCACCTAATAATGCACGTTAACGCACAAACACAGTCACCTAATAATGCCACGTAACGCACAAACACAGTCACCTAATAATGCCACGTAACGCACAAACACAGTCACTAAATAATGCCACGTAAACACAAACACAGTCACCTAATATGCGCACGTACACACAAACACAGTACACCTGTAAACGTACACGCACCAAGAACGCCTAATAACATTGAACGCACAAACACATCACCTGAATAATGCCACGTAACGCACAACCAGTCACCTAATAATGCCACGTAACGCACAAACACAGTCACCTAATAATGCTACGTAACGCACAAACACAGTCACCTAATAATGCCACGTAACGCACAAACACAGTCACCAAATAAGCACTAAACGCACAAACACAGTCACCTATAATGCCACGTAACGCACAAACACATCACCATGCCACGTAACGCCACAAACAAACAGACCTAATAAGCCACGTAACGCACAAACACAGTCACCTAATAATGCCACATAACGCACAAACACAGTCACCCTAATATAGCCGACGTAAACACACAAACCACAGTACCTAATAATGTAACACACAAAACATCACCCAAAATGCTCACCGTACACAACACAGTACCTATCAATGCCGTAACGCAAACAATGCACAGTCACCCAAAATCCACGGAACACACAAACCACAGTGTCACCTAATAATGGCCACGTAACGCCAAACACACTAATAATGCCACGTAAACGCACAAACCACAGTCACCTAATAATGCCACGTAACGCACAAACCATTCACCAATTAATGCCACGTACCGACAAACACGTCACCTAATAATGCCACGTAACGCATCCAAACACAGTCACCTAATAATGCCACGTTAACGCACAAACACAGTCACTGATAATGCCACAAAACACAGTCACCTAATAATCCACGTAACGCACAAACACAGTCACCTAATAATGCCACGTAACAGCACAAACAACAGTCACCTAATAATGCCACGTAACGCACAAACACAGTCACCTAATAATGCCACGTAACGCACAAACACAGTCACCTAATCAATGCCACAACGCACAAACACCAGTCACCTAATAATCCACGTAACGACCATAACACAGATCACTTCAATAATGCCACGAACACACAAACACAGTCCACCACTAATGCTACGTAACACACAGTAAACAGTCACCTAATATGCCGGGACGAACTCGCACAAACGGAGACAGTCACCTGATATGCTACTGTAACACACAAACATCACCTAGATAATGCCACGTAACGCACAAACACACACCTAATATGCCCAGCGTACGCACAAACACAGATCACCTAGAATAAGTGCCACAGATGGGAACGCACAACAACATCACCTACTGAATGCCACGTAGACACACAAACACACAGTCACCTAATAAATGCCAGCGTAAGCACGACGACAACAACCAGTCACCTAATAATGCCCACACACGACAGAGTAGAAAACTCGGATGACGCACCAAACACAAGTGAAAGACGACATCACAGCTAATAATGCCACGTATCGCACAAACACAAGTCACACAATAATGCCACGTAACGCACAAACACAGTCACCTAATAATGCAGCGTAACACACAAACACAGGTCACCTATAAATGCTACGAACACACAAAAACAGTCACCTAACTATGCCAACGTAACGCACAAAACAGTGCACCTATAAGTCTACTAACACCACAAAACAGGTCCATCGGCTAATGCATGCCACTGTAACGCACGAAAGAGGACCACAGTCAGCGCATAGTGACAATGCCACGAATAACCGCATCAAACGACAAGTCACCTAATAATGCCAGCGATAAACGCACAAAACACAATCCACCTAATAATGCCACGTTAACACAGCAACAACCCCGAAGTCACCTAATAATGCCACCGTAAACGCACAAACAACAGTCACCTATTAATTTAAACTGCCACGTGAGCGGACAAACACTAGCAACCGCTAATAATGCCACGTAACGCACAAACACAGTCACCTAATAATGCCACGTAACGCACAAACACAGTCACCTAATAATGCCACGTAACGCCACCAAACCATCAAGTCGAAATGAATAATGCCGACGTAAGCCAAGACAAACTTGTCGTAACCTGGATAACTTGTCTGCGAAAAAAAATAGGATCTAATTTCTAGGAGGTAAACATGGCTCAGAACCTGGAACTGGAACAACAATTTCTGGCTAAATTCCTCTTTTTTTGCCTCAGAACACGACCGTTCTTCCTCCAGACTCACCTCACGACGCCGTTTCTCTCCTGGTCGAAGAATAGTAAAAAAAAAGAGCGTGGAATCGAAAGAAACTCATAAAAATAGAGAAACGCGAAGAGAAGACAATCAACACAATTTCAATTTCGGACCCAATCGAGAACAACAAAGGCTGCGTCGCTGTATGTCGTGAGATGTCTCGCGGAGAAGATATCTTGGAGGTGACTTTGGCTTCATCAAGGTTCTTTGATGACTGTTACGTATAACATTATTTCTTATTTCAATTTCTGAGTTTATAACGTAGTATAGTAATTATATATAAGTAAGTTTTTAAGAGATATAATTTTATCTAAACTTAATGGGAGAATGCATTGAAAATATATTCGGCAAGATAGCGTATACTCATAAACGAAGACCACTTTATGTGATTGAAG